ACTGTGCATGTGGTTCAAAGCTGTACGTAAAAGAACAAAACAGTAGGTCACTATCTCAAAATCTAGATCAGCTGATATCAAAATTCAGTTTTACATCTTAAACTATGCATGTGATCCGAATTATATAACTATATATGAAAGAACAAGAAAGTAGGTCACGAGATCAAAATAAAGGTCAGTTAATATCAAAGTTCAATTTTACATCTAAAACTATGCAAATTGTTCAAATTTCAGAGCTTTATATCAAAGGACAAGAAAGTAGGTCATTAGGTCAAAATCTAGATCAGCTGATATCAAAGATCAATTTTACATCTAAAATATGCGCGTGGTCCAAATTTCATAGTTAAAGGATAGAATAAAATAATTGCTTGAATTTGACCTCTATGGTCAAGATCAATTAAAGGTCAATGTAACATTTGAATTATTCAATATGTTTGTTTGGTATAAAGTCTTTTTTGTCCAAGTGTAAATAAAATCCATACACAAATAACAAAATTATGACAATTTAACCAAAATTCAATAATTTGACCTTGATGGTCAATGCCATTTAAAGCTTAATGTCAAGGTCAGTTCAATGTTAAAGAAGGTTTTGTCCAAAAGGTTGTTTTGTCAAGATATTAGATAATCCAATTATAAATTACCAAGTTAAGTCAAATATAGCAAAAATCAGTAAAAAATAAATAATTTAACCTTTAAGGCAGCTGACCTCCAGAAGATAGCAGAAAAACTGCCGTCTTGCTAATATTTCAAAAACCACCCTCAAATACATTATATAGTTAAAATAAATCGAAATGACACTTCAAAATGTTCATATTTTAACATTATTACTCTGAAAACAAACAGTTCGCTTTTCAACCAACGGGAAATACCTTCTTTTATTATACCACGGAATTTTTTCTAGTATCACGTGATCGTACAAGACAATATTGCGACCTGTGCTCCGGAATGTACGGAATCCGGGATTTTATCAAACATACAGGGATACGAATAACTGCCTTTGTTTTTATATTTGAAGTTATTCATGGCACTTAAATTATAATTGATTAATTATTTCATATATATGACGACCAATTTATCGATTTCACCTTTAGCTTGAAAGGTGATAGGGGCCTTGTAACACCGCAAAACGTCCGTACCGCAAAACGTACGTAAATGGACGTTTTGCGGCGCATATCGTTCACATTTTTCTGACGTACATTTTGCGGCAAAAAGGCATGGTCCTGCCGCATAACGTCCATATTTTAAACATTATATAATTTTCGTTAATTTTAGCTCACCTGAGTATGCGTCTGTCTGTCTGTCTGTCCGTCCGTCCAAATTTAGCTTGTTACCACTCTTGCATCCACATACCCTAAGCAATATGTCCAGAGTTATCTGCCCTTGAATTACAATATCAGTTATATTTCACATTGTTACCACTCCAACGCTTTCATTTCTTCTTCAATCTTGACAATTTTCAACAGAATATCTATGACCATAAAATCTCAACAAAGCTAAATTATAGGCTAAATCTAACCAAAAAAAAAAACAACACAACAAAAACGCACCATATTTCACCTTGTTAGTGCTTTCGTTTCTTCTCCATTCTTAAATTTTTTATACAGAATATGTATAACAAAAATTAACAATAAGGTCTCGATCAAGTTCATTAATGAGCTAAAACAACTGAATATGTCAAGAGTTATTTGCCTTTGATTAAGAAAAATAAAGACATATTTTGAGCTATCTTGCTCAAATACTAAACGACTAAAGCCCCACCCCGACAATAGCTCTGTCGCTCAAATATGACGAGGCGACTAAAAGCCCGCAATCCAACAATAGATCTCTCCCTCAAATATGACTAGACAGCTTTAAGCCAACAACCCAACAATAGCTCTCTCTCTCAAATATGAGTTGGCGGTTAAAGCCTATATCCCCCGGGGAAAAAGCACCCCATCCCCACCCCGTCCCCGCGACAAAAGCTCTCTTGCTCAATTATGACTAGGCGACTAGGCGACTTAAAGGCCCCATCTCCATGACATTATAGCTCTCTCGCTCAAATATGACTACGCTGTCAAAAGCCCCAATCCATCCCCCGTAAAAATGAACGGTAGAACCAAACCTCCATAGTCAACAAAAACACAAAAAATCATTCCCACTTCTTGATGCAATTATATGAAAATCTATTGTCAAAAGCAAAGCTTAATTTGAATATGTTTTGTCATTCACTCAGTCCAATCCCCGGTTCGTCCGTCCGTATAGCCGCCCTTTTCTGTATGTCTATAGGATTACATTTATTTCAATATCATCGTTTTTAATTGTTTGGGTCGTCAGACCAAACAAATACTGGTAGCGAAATTTCAAAGCCTAATGCTGTTAATTGCAGATGCCTAAAGTAGTCCACTTTTTTTTGAAGCGGTTACTTCCCTTTATATGTACACTAACGCCGAACAATTCAGGGGAGATCAATGCGTAAAGATTGTCAAATGACAGGCGCATTAATTTTCAAGCAAAGTAGTTCCCGAATGGTCGAAGATTTCTAATATTGTTTCATGCTTTATAGATATACTTGCTTACAGTAAGCTCCATGATTATTTACATCTGTGTTTAGCGTCGAAATAATAAGAGTTACAAACCCTAATTTAGAATAATATGGTTTTCTTCAGAACATTCAGTTATAACTTCACCGTGGCCGAGGGGTTTGCACGCTCGCTTATGAATTGAGAGGTCCCGAGTTCAAATCCCAGTTGACAATTTACATTGAATTGACTATCAGTGTTGCAATTAGTCTTATAGCCAATTTACTACAGTTAAAACACTGGAAAGCATTGGTGGCACTAAACAAAAACAAATTGGTTTCTAATCTCACAACTTTCACCTTTCTGACATTCTGAGACCCAAACAAATTCAGCGCCTTCTGTGCTTTGATTATATCTCTGCTGCTGCTGCTTGGTTCCATTCCATAAAAAATCTATTCGATAAACATCCTCGGCTTAAGCATATTATTTTTTTTTAAATAAAAAAAGTCAGAATTATATAGGATCACAAAAATATTGCACTTTTATGTTTATTTCGTCATATATTTACCTGAAACAATATGAAAGTGACAGAACCAATAAAAGTAACGTTTATAATGCATATATTTTAATACAGAAAGTATGGACGATATGCGACGCAAAGACACACTCTCGCCGCAAAACATACCAAGTACGATATGCACCGCAAAACGTCCACATGTGTACGATATGCGACGCAAAACGTCCATACGCGTACGTTTTGCGGTACGGACGTTTTGTGGTGTTACAGGGCCTACTTAATGACTTAGGTAAATAAACGATCCCGGGCATTACGGATACCGGAGTTTTCCCGGGTCATTGTGTTACATGTGACCGCGTTAAATGAATTATGTTCTCCTATTTATATTGGCTACTGAGTTAGTAACGTAGTAGATTATGGAAAAGAAAACCCGATATATTAACGCTTTTGTCAACATTCTTTCTTGAATTAAGGTGTCAGTAATTATGGATTTATACAATAAACATAACTAGATCAGGTTTTACGGTTTACCTTGAAAGTTTATTTCATTTTTTTTCATTTTACTATCTGGAGGTCAGTGGCTTTAAGATCAAGGTCATTTATGAGCCAAAGTCAGTTTGAGTAATATTCATGACAGTCGTATCATGAAGAATGTTGTGTTTTAATATCCATTTATAAATAACAAAGATATATCAGTTACAGAAAAGGAACAAGAATAGTTTATTAATTTGGCCTTGACGGTCAAGGTCAATTGAAGGTGAAGGTCATATCAAAATTAGTCAAAATGTTTGTTTGAAAGAAAGTCTTGTTTTGTCCAAGTATGAATCAAATCCGTACAAAAATATAAAAAACTCTGACAATTTCACCAATATTCAATAATTTGGCCTCGATGGTCAAGGTCATTGAACACTAAAGGTCAAGGTCAGTTGAACCTAATGAAGATACTCCATTTATCAATTACGAAATAACATTCAATTATAGCAACAAAAAAGTGAAAATTCAATACTTTAACCTTCAAGGTAAAGGTCACCAATGAGCCTAGGTCTGTTTGAGTTTGACATACATGAAGTGAGTTTGACATACATGAACGTCTTATCCTAAAGAATGTTTTGTTTTCATATAGAGTTAATACATTCATTAATAATAAAGGTATAGCTAGTTACAACAATATAAAATCAATAATTTGACCCTCAAGGTAAAGATCATTTATAAGTTAAGGTCTGTTTGGTTAACTTTAAGGTCTATTCTAGAACATTATTATGTTCAAGTTTTAAGTCTATCCATTCAAAAATAATAAGTGATAGCCATTTATATAAAAAAAAAACAGCAACAAGGTCATTTATGAATGAAGGTCAAGTTTAGTCTGGTCTACGATCTTGTCCTAATGGTTGTTGTTAAGTATGAAGACAATAGACCAACAAATTAAGTTATGATTAAGGTTAAAGTTTGCGGTCGGCAACGGTATTGGCAACGACAACTCCGATAGGACTGTAACAATACCTCTATTATTTATTATTTTATTTTATTTTATTATCTTTTTTTTAAGTCGCGCTAAACAAACTGGTCTCAAGCAGCTTGTTTGCACCATTAGTCTATCACTGGAATTTCAAATAACCTGATACGAATGTTCAACATCATTTCGCGCGCAAGAACCGTTTGACTTCGTCAAAGCTCAAGGTAATACCTTCAGGTCAGATGTGACAGCGGGCTCGACATGTTGCCCTTGGGAATCTAGTCTCTTAACAGCCATAACAATGTCAGAATTGTAAGCAAAATAAAATTGAGGTGCCACATGGGGAAAACCTTTAAAAAGTAGTCTTGTGAAATTATGTATATTTTAATAATTTTCACTGTGAAATTATCAAATATAATTTTTATGGATAAATCAGTAATCCACTCAAAAGCATATAATAAGAAATCTAATTCACATCTTTTCAGAACTTTGACCCAGAGGGTTTTTGTATAATTATGTAACGTATTTGTAGAAAAGAGAAAAGACATATTTACTGATTCAGATTGTTTTACTGTTCTTTAAAGGTTTAAAGCTGAGTGTCTTTAACGTTTTCCGGATATTTAGGGTATTACGTTTTCTTACCGACTTTGAAAGGTATGTCAAGTTTATTAAAGTTGTTTTAAAGAACTGGTATTTAAAACATAAGTTCTAAGTGTTATTGTACATTCTTCCATTAGTAAGTATTTGTTATGCACATTCTAATTGGCGATGTTCAAGGTTTGCATGCTGTATAAATGTAGTTAGTGTAAGTGCATAATAAAAGTTATGTATTGGCCGAGGTCAGGGTGCGAATCAGTCGAGGTCTAACGTAAAGGGGAAAACAGAACAATAAAGAGGCATTTATTTAAAATGCAATAAAATTATTTTTTTATACAAATGTGAATAAATATCATGATTTCATTTAAAAATATTGAATCTTACTTAAGGAATATATTTAAAATGCCATAAAATAACAATAAACATTCCATATACATGGTGATTAGCAGGAGCCGTTCGCCAATACTAAACAAGTATAAAAGTAATATTGTGAAAAGAATAATTACTAGACATTGGCAACACTTGAATACGGTGGCGCAGAGGTGACATTTGTGCGTTTCTATTTATCTCGTGCGAACGAGATACTATGTCGTGGCCACGAGATAATTAAGTGGTGCGCACGATATATTATGTTTTGGCCAGGAGTTACTAAGTCGTGGCCACGAGATAATTATTTGGTGTGCACGAGATACTATGTCGTGGCCACGAGTTACTAAGTCGTGGCCAAAGGATAAATTAAGTGGTGCGCACGAGATACTATGTCGTGGCCACGAGTTACTAAGTTGTGGCCAAAGGATAATTTAGTGGTGCGCACGAGTTACTAAGTCGTGGCCAAAGGATAATTAAGTGGTGTGCACGAGATACTATGTCGTGGCCACGAGTTACTCAGCCATGGGAAAAAGATAATTTAGTCGTGCGCACGAGATAAAAAACTAATCTGATTAGACTTTCTATATGAAGTTTCCTAGTTAACTATAAATGTGCCATAGGACAATGATGCCCCTACTTCACCTGTCTGTCAAAGTGCCATATATACAAGATTGAAAAATAATTTTACATTCAGCGTCATTGTGACCCTGATTTTTGAACTACGGGTTTCTGGATTGCCGGTCCAGTATGGTAACCACTTCACCACAGCGGCCGTTGCGTTTCCTTCCGTGCTAATTAGCCTTATACATATATACTTAAGTTTTTTTAAAAAACTTTATTGCGACGTCATCACTTTTATTACCATACCGGCGAGCTAGTTATAGCTACTTTTACCGCAGTTTATTGTGATTTCCGCATTTTAAGTTTGTTAATAAATAGCTCTAAATATATCTATATTCTAAGTTAAATTAATTTAACGTTCATTATATACAATAAAAAAATTAACGTTTAATGGCCTTTCATTACGACAACAATCAACACAAATATAGTTCATTAGGTTTTTCCTCCATATCTTATACGATCCCGGATCCCGGGCGTCCCGGATCCCGGCCAGTAAATACATACACTATATACCGGAAAAGATAAAATGACCGGAAAAAAAAGGAAAAAATAAAAATGCACAGAACCAGATGTACACTTATGTTAATTAACCAAACGAAAACTTACTACAGAGAAAACAGGTGAAATCGCTAAATCAGAAGTCAGTGTAAATATGATTTATTGAAAAGAATTCATACAGACAAACATTTTAATCATCATTATATCTTTGCGCTCAAAACAATACTTGCTGATTTTTAAAAATGGCGTGAAAATTGAAGGTTTTTTGACGCTATGTAAGATTAAATTTGATTGGCTAAATAATTTTGGATCCTAGCCCTGATAGATAAATTTTGTAGAAAGCTGGAAGCCAAGCTTCGACTAAATTTTTGGATAGCTTCGGAGTTGTAGGTTGTTTCTCAGTAAAATCCTACCGTAATACCGGCTCGCCGTGGCGAGCCGGCAACAGAACAATAAAGAGGCATTTATTTAAAATGCAATAAAATGATTTTTTTATACAAATGTGAATAAATATCATGATTTCATTTAAAAATATTGAATCTTACTTAAGGAATATATTTAAAATGCCATGAAATAACAATAAACATTCCATATACATGGTGATTAGCAGGAGCCGTTCGCCAATACTAAACAAGTATAAAAGTAATATTGTGAAAAGAATAATTACTAGACATTGGCAACACTTGAATACGGTGGCGCAGAGGTGACATTTGTGCGTTTCTATTTATCTCGTGCGAACGGGCGCAGAGGTGACATTTGTGCGTTTCTATTTATCTCGTGCGAACGAGATACTATGTCGTGGCCACGAGATAATTAAGTGGTGCGCACGATATATTATGTTCTGGCCAGGAGTTACTAAGTCGTGGCCACTAGATAATTATTTGGTGTGCACGAGATACTATGTCGTGGCCACGAGTTACTAAGTCGTGGCCAAAGGGTAAATTAAGTGGTGCGCACGAGATACTATGTCGTGGCCACGAGTTACTAAGTTGTGGCCAAAGGATAATTTAGTGGTGCGCACGAGTTACTAAGTCGTGGCCAAAGGATAATTAAGTGGTGCGCACGAGATACTATGTCGTGGCCACGAGTTACTCAGCCATGGGAAAAAGATAATTTAGTCGTGCGCACGAGATAAAAAACTAATCTGATTAGACTATCTATATGAAGTTTCCTAGTTAACTATAAATGTGCCATAGGACAATGATGCCCCTACTTCACCTGCCTGTCAAAGTGCCATATATACAAGATTGAAAAATAATTTTACATTTAGCGTCATTGTGACCCTGATTTTTGAACTACGGGTTTCTGGATTGCCGGTCCAGTATGGTAACCACTTCACCACAGCGGCCGTTGCGTTTCCTTCCGTGCTAATTAGCCTTATACATGTATACTTAAGTTTTTTTTTAAACTTTATTGCGACGTCATCACTTTTATTACCATACCGGCGAGCTAGTTATAGCTACTTTTACCGCAGTTGGCCACAGTTGTAAATGTAGCTATAAATAGCTCGCCGCTAATTTATCGCTATTTTTACCGCAGTTGGCCACTATATATACCGCTGTAGGTTCTGTCGTGAATTTCCTTTTAATTTTATTTTATAATCCAAGACATTGGAAGAAAGAACACATTTCCTTCTTGAATATTAATTTATTTTATAACACAACAAGTTTTAATTCATTTAAACTATTTTATTTTTATTAACCACAAATATAATCCAATTATTTGACTTAAACAATTTTATTTAATAATTACAAATATAATCCAATTATTTAATTTAACAACCTTTATTAACAAATCAGTCTATTAGTAACTAATTTTATTTCACCCACACTTTTACTTATATATATATAGCAAACTTTCCCGCCTTTACAATTAAGCACGGCAAGAAAAGCATGTTAAACATGAAAACATAAATATCTCGTGCACAAGAATTCACCGTCGGGGAACTAAAACAATAGATTTACTAATTGCACGTGAAAAACATTGAAGTTGCTGATAAAACACGTGCAAAATGCTACTATATCTTCACCGTCGGATAACTTATCAATAGAACTTTAAAGGCACGGTGACATATGATGTTACTTACTTAGAAAACGGTTCTTGATAAAAATAGTACTATATTAAGATAAATGTATATCGCAATATCTGCGACAGGTTCGATCCTCACTCGGGTCGAAATCTTTCATGTGAGGAAGCCATCCAGCTGACTTACGGAAGGTCGGTGGTTCTACCCAGGTGCCCGCTCGTGCCTGAAATAATGCCCGGAGGGGCACCTGGGGTCTTCCTCCACCAATAAAAGCTGGAAAAATATCGACGAAAAAATCTCGGCGGGACGCTCTACGATGGCCTGACTTGAGTGTACGGTCGCCCATATGGGCTTTCCGGCGGCGACCTTAAATGAACGCATAAAAAAAGCAAGACTTAATCATTTCGTTCCCACGACTTGGTATCTCGAGCGCACGACTTAGTGTTCTCGTTCCCACGACTTAGTAACAGACATAGTATCTCGTACGAGATAAATAAAAACCTCTGTGTCATCATGCTTGAAGGGGAAGTGAAGAAAGAGGTGTTTTTCGCGACCAAAATTAACACACTTATGTTTATCTGTTTGCTGAAAAGGATCACATGTTAGAAAGTTATCAATTGATTTGGTATTACCATAGTTTATATAATTTATCATTGTAAATTCCGAAATCAAATTGTATGTCCCGAACGTTATAATTAGGGATCTAGTTACATAAATAATTTTGTGTACATAAAATACTATTAGCGTTTGTGTCTCGTAGCTATTGACGTGTTCTCTACCAACAAGTCCACATTATCAATTATATTACAGTTTAGTTTTACGATTATGTTATGCACAATAAAATGTAAATTCACAACTTTACAAATAATTTTACAGGTTTAGGATAATCTTTGATGCTGTGTTCAACGTGTCTTACTCTATCATGACGTACTGTATTATCATTTTTGTAAGTAAATATATTTCTGTAAGAGTACTTATGTCCATAACGATGAAGTAATCATTTTCATTTAAGCTATCAGAATGAATAAAGTCAATAATCTATATAATATATAATGCGGTCACTTCTTTAACCTCATCTAAATCTTCTATGTAGTGTATTGATTTGGTTTTACCTAGTAAATCTCTATCAACTACAATTGTTTGAATACATGTACGGTATTATAAAGAAGCCTATGAAGCCCACATTGACAGAATGATGTTCCGACCTTGTAACACTGCACTTTGGGGTCAAACGCACTTTGGGATTCAATCTAAGAAGTCAGTAAACTTCACAGCGCATTTTAGGGTCAGAATTCGAACCCCAATATGCTATATTTCAACGCACTTTAGGTTCTAAATTTCTAAAGGTGTCAGCTGAGTTCTGCTTAAGTACTGAGTACTGATTTATTATCGTTCTGCAACCTTTCAATATGGAGCTCAAGATACAGGTCGATACTTCGATATATCACTATATCTATATATATATGTAGTATTTGTAGAGTTATTTCCCTTTGATCCTTTTCCTTGTCCGGTGCATAGCTTAAAAACTAATGTTTAGAATTCAATGCTACTTCATACAATGGTCAAGCGCAATAAGGGAAAGTGCAGTGCGCAAGAAGTGTTACTCTTTCTGGACTTATTACAGAGTAATTTAATTAAACTTCATCAATTGTCAACCACATTGAAAGGAAATGCAACTAAAAGAACCACAACTTTCTTTAATTGCCCACAACCATAACTCTATTTCAATTCTTTTGCAAGGTATCCTGTTACTAGTAACTTCCTCATTTCTAAAGCAGTCTTGCGGGGGTATTAATCACATTTGGTGATAGTTCTGGTTTTGTTTAGTATATTCTCAAAACATTCTATGAATGAATAAGAATAATTTCTAAATATCAACATTTTTGTATATTTAACTATCCCGTTACAGATAGTTTTCTACATATATGCTATAGTAGGCATGGAGCTGTTTGAAGGATTAATCAAGTTCATTGACCAAACGAATACGGCAAGTAATGCATCTCTATGGACAACAAATACTACATCTCGGCAGGAGTTGGCTAATTTGTGCAACAATACCAAGTTGAACGGTAGTATGTTTGTTGACAATCACTACTGCAATGTTAACTTTAACGATATTCTTAACTCATTTGTTCTCATCGCATCCTTGCTGATTGTCAATAACTGGCATGATATCCTTTATAATATTTTAACAAGAATTTGTAACAGAGTTACCAACGTCCCCCGCCTCGGGGAAATTTTATATGAAGCATTAAATTGTGCTATTTCAAAAGATTGAGGTATGGATCTAAGGATTTTCAGTCCAAAATTATGATGAATGCTAGATCTGCAATTGCAACAATAAATTTATTAAAGAAATAAAATGAATGCTAAGATTTGACCTCTCAGTGTGACCTTGACCTTGGAGGTAGGGGTCCAGGTGTTGTGCATGACATATCGTCTTATTATTGTAACTATTTGTAACAAGTTTTTTCAAAAAATCCCTTGAACTATGAAGAAGTTATAGATAGGACACAAAATATACCCACTAACAGACTATGTTAATCTTTGACCTCTTAGTGTGACCTTGGAGGTAGGGACCCATGTTTTGGGCCTGACATATCGTCTGATTATTGTGATTATTTGTGCCAAGTATTTTTAAAATCCCTTGATCTATGAAAAAGTTATGGACTGGACACAAAATATACCCTATAACAGAATATGTAAATCTTTGACCTCTACATGTGACCTTGACCTTGGAGGTAGGGACACTGGTGTTACACATGACATATCATCTTATCATTGTGACTATTTTTGTCAAGTACTTTCAAAATCCCTTGATCTATGAAGAAGTTATGGACACTATACAAAATATACCATATAACAGACTCTGTTAACTTTTGATCTCTAAGTGTGACCATGACCTTGGAGGTAGGGGTACAGGTGTTGTACTTGACATATCGTCTTATTATTGTGACTATTTGTGCAAAGTTATTTCAAAATCCCTTGAACTATAAAGAAGTTCTAGATCGGACACAATATATACCCTTTAACAAACTATGTTAATATTTGACTTCAAAATGTGATCTTGACATTGAAGGTAGAGATGCAGGTGTTGCGCATATCACATCGTCTTATTAAAATGACTATTTGTGCCAAGTATTTTCAAAATCCTTTGATATATGAAAAAGTTATGGATCGGGCACAAAATATACCCTATAACAGGCTTTGTTAATCTTTGACCTCCAAGTGTGACCTTGACCTTGAAGGTAGGTGACCGATTGTTTCGCATGACACATCATCTCATAATTGTGAACACTTGTGGCAAGTATTTACAAAATCCCTTCAAAGATAAGAAAGTTATAGACCGGACACGATATATACTCTAAAATAGACAATGTTGACCTTGAATGAGCAAGTGCGACCTTGACCATGGAGGTTGCGCATGACACATTGTCCTTATTATAACAAACATTTGTGCCAAGTTATTTCAAATTCCTTTGATAAATGACAAAGTTATGGACCGGGCACGAAATATACTCTGTAACAGACTATGTTAATCTTTGACCTCCAAGTGTGACCTTGTCCGTGGAGGTAGGTGACCGGTTGTTAAGCATGACACATTTTCTCATTATTGTGAGCAAGTATTAACAAAATCCCTTCAAAGATAAAAAAGTTATGGACCGGACACGACATATACCCTCAAAGTGACAATGTTGACCTTAAATGAGCAAGTGCGACCTTGACCCTGGAGGTAGGGGTCTGGTTGCTGCGCATGACACATCGTCTTATTATAACAAACATTTGTGCCAAGTTATTTCGGATTCCGTTAATAAATGACAAAGTTGTGGACCAGACACGAAAGTGTGACGGACGGACGGACAGACGGACGGAGCCTATTTATATATTTTCTTCGAAAAGGCCGGGGGCAATTAACCCTTGCAATTCTTAATATCTTAATTGGTTTATCATCTTTCGAAGTGCTTTCATATTGATCAGCTTGAAATTAAGATTTTTTATATGTAAATAAGCAAACATTTTATTGGTATAAATGTGATACTATTTCAATTTTGTTAACTATTGTTTTGTTATCATAAAGTTTTGCCTTGACACTTTTCAATGATTTGTGAAGGATATGGTTTAGTAACAAACAAAGCTGCTAGATTATACTTTATGAGTTTCCACCTTTCAATCGCTGTTGTCATAATGAAGTAAGTGTGTCATATTTTGTAATTTATTCAAGTCTTTAATAAAAAAAATAGAAATATAAAATTCAATCCTTTATAGTTAAAAAGATTTATTTATGCCGTAGACTTGTATTATCAATTGCTTAAGTACGCCATCTTTTTGTGAAGTATAATTATGGTCCTACTGCATAGGGGATGATTAGTATTTGATTGGGACTGGCTTTTTACTGCTGCCTAAGGCACATCATTACAAGTAGTATGGCTAAAAGAGCTTTTGACCTTTGTCATGTTTTATTTGAAAGACAATTGACTGGCGAAAAACTGGGAAAGAATCCGAAGTCTCTGACGGTAAGTGGAAAGAGGTTTGAGGTCAGCTAGTGGCATTAAAAACTCAGCCACAAAGACATCAGAATATGAAAGACAAGATCAACAAGGAAGGGGGACATTCAATGAACACATCCCTAAAAAAAAACCGGCAATGAGCCCAGCTGGGCACCATACATGACAGGGGGCATGGGCAAAAGTACGGGCGGTCATTATAAACCATTTAAAATAGGAAATCATAGCAACCTACACGGCAATAAAAGATGAAAATTCATTAAAATCCCTACAAACAATAAAAATGGGGGGACCTACAGAAGGATACGGGTGCAGGAGAGGGGGTCAGAAGGATGGAGTGGCAGGGTTATATTTGAAAACATCTATGGCGAAAGGGGATGCTTACCATAGACTCAAAACAAGAAGGGACTCAAAAGTGTTGCCACAATTGTATGTAAAGTAAACAAGACATACATCTTAGGAACACAGAGAGGCGCCGCCTTGGAACGGTCAGCAGCATAGCACTACTGGGGAGTTTAAACCGCTTAATGGTACACCAAACCTCATTCTTAGTCCTAACAGGACAATGAAAATGAAATGAATCCCCGCCAAGCGAAATCCTGACAGTTGTAATGGTTCCAAAAAGTTGATATAAGTAAAAAACAGAAATGCTCAAAAATAACCAAATGACCAGAACAAAAGATCGCAATGTCTTAAAAGAAGACAGAGTAGCAAGAATATCATCTAGAAGGGCTCGATGAAGCAAGACAGAAGACAAAACTAGGAAAATTCAGTTCCAATACGTTTTAAGAACTTCAATCATAGAGTTTGCCACTTGGTTGGCGAGATGTGATCAAACGAGAGAAACATAGTTTCCCAAACTGTAAAATTAAAGCATGAACACTAAGCATGCATTATGTCTTAAAATAGAAGGATCATAACCTCTTTTAGTATAACATTTACAAAAAGTAGCCGATAAAGGACCGAGAATTATATCTCCATAGAAATCAGGCTTCTTTAAATAAGTAAATATTCATATTGTTGGTCAACTTAACATGTGCTGCTAAAATGAATCAGATCAAATTCTCTCGAATTGTCTATATTTGTTTTAGTATTGTAACGGCTTTCATTTTGGACATGTTTATGTACGAGTACACATTTTCCAAAAAAGGCACATTGGATACCAAGGTAGAAATGACTATTAAACAGCTTCAACTTGGTATTGACGATGAAACGTAAGCATTTAATGACTTTTTATGATAAAGATAGAGATACATGTATATCTGATATATAGTTATTTAATTTTTAGTAGTTTAATTATTTTTTAGTTGTTTACAATATTCTCTTAGGTTTGTCAATTCTTAATTTACTAGATGGTTAATGAATAAATAAAAACTCTATGCCAATATTGTTTTATCATGAAGTTTTGCATTAACACTTTTCACAGATTTGTGAAGAATATGGAACAAGCAAAGCTACTAAAGTAACATCTGTTTTTTTTCTTCCAAATTTCTAAAAGCGGTATGGAAATCACTGAAGATTCAAAGCGTAAAGAAGGAGACAGCATTGACGGCATTCATCAAGGGGAAAGCATGTATCATACAAAGCACATGATACAGAAGTTGGCTTCAAAACAAAATGCTCATGCTCAAGTAAAGCCTAATCTTACCAGATATGATGGAATACGGTTCCACATGAAAAAGAGAGGTACATGTATTATATATAAAAACACACAAATAAACGATTTTTTATAAGTTGATTTCTTTCATTTTTAATTCTATAATTTTCTGGTTCAATTTCCAAAAATTTCAATCTTGTTTCATACTGGGTTAAAAACTTTTTTCCGATATATTGATTAACCTCGGATAAAGAAAATCGTTTAACTAAAAGTAAAACCAGAGTATGTAAACCATTCACATTAATCATTCTCTGGGAGTTAATATTATTTTTATATTATTTCAACGAAGTCAGCTACACCGGTAACATTTAACTTAAAAAACTTTCGATCTTAGATTGGACTAGGACAGAGCTACTTTTGCAACAGTTGTTTGAGCTAGAAGAGGAAATAGCTGAATCTGACAAAGATCATCACCTAATAAGTATGCTTAACCAATAGAGATCATCCTGTCATTTGTTCTTAGAGGAACTAAGAAAACGTAAACAGATTGGATACATTTAACTGCGTGAACACTAGTTCCTTAGTAGTGTTGGTGTGAAAACATAGCAGCTTTTGGACAGGCGAAAATAGACTCACAGGCGAAAATAGACTCACAGGCGAAAGAGTTTTCTTATACCATTTTAAAGACCATTGAAAGGTTTAGGATAAATGTTCAAAATATAAAGATGAAAAGATCACACGGGTATGTAACGCAATAGCTGCCCCATTTCTTTTTATCTTGCCCAGAAAGCGTCTTATTATGTCAAATTTAAGCTTTGTAATGCCATTGTAATTTGTCGACTTGTCTAAACAGTGCCTTATTATGCGTAACAGTAGTCTTATCTCTTTAAAATGTGATGTTGACTTGTGTTAACATTGTTTAATTTTTTCAAACAGTAGTGTTATCATGTAAAAATGTCGTTTTGACTTGTCTGAAATGTGTCATATTATGTCAAACTGTGAAGCTGTTGAACTCTTAAGACAATTTCTAAACAAATTACCACCACCGTTGGACAAGAAAGCATGCTATTTTGACATAAAAGACATTCTCTAAGCAAGATAACACCGAATTTGAACACAATGACATGGCCGTCTGACAAAATGTGACGGTGTTTAGACAAGTCATGCCACATTTGGACAAGACAAAACGACAGTATAACATAATACAACAGTGTCATAACATACCAGGATCACATTTGGACAAGATGACACCAACTTTCGACAAGATAACACTACTGTTTCCCATGATAAGACAATTCCAAGACAATTCAACAAATAAACATTTAAAAAAAGTATGTGTTCAGACATATTGAAATCTTAATTCGAAAAGATGGCGTGCATGTTAAACATATTTAGACTTCCATTCGGCATGTTGACACCAGATAACATGACGTTTTTAAGACAGTGTTTAGACAAGTCAGCACTAAGTTTTGACAAGAGAAAATGAATATTTGACCTGATTAGACTTTGTTAAGACAGGTTCTCATAAAACGTTGGCAAGCCCACACTTCTATTATACATAATAAGACTCTTTCAGGGATGGCGTTCCATACACGGGTAACAATGAACGTTTTTAAAAGTTTTGCGTTTGATAGAAATTAATTAATATTAACTCATGCTGACTTATGGCTAAGTGAATGTGTAGGACAATGTACAACAATTTGGAAAAGCAACATAACATTTACGAAAGCAAATAAGCTTGTAAGGCAGTAAGCTTGCTTAAGCATTTCTGACGTTTGTATTTATTGTATTATTTCTGAATTAGTATTTGTGCGTTTTTAATAGTTTGTATCACAATTTCTCTTAAATGCATTTAAATTTCTACTTTTCGTCATTTACATTCGTAAGAGAACTTCACTTTTTAAGTTGAAGATTTCATTGGGTATTAAGAAACGGTTTTCTGGTTTTGCTTTATCGAAGCCATTATAGATTAATACAGTATCATTGTATTTCAAATTCATTAAAGCATTAAAGAAATAGAGGATATTTGTTTAGTCCGGTGTAAGATCGGAATATATTTCACCGAGTGAGCACCAAAAGATATATTTCACGAGTGGCGCAGCCACGAGTTAAATATGAACTTTTGGTGTTCACAAGGTGAAATATATTTCGATCTTACACTAAACTAAACAAATTTTCTTTTTATTATATGCAAAGAAACGTTTTAAAAAGACATTAAACCTAATACTGAATGAAAAGCGCGCCAAATAATAATACAACGTGACGTCATTTACGACGTCACGTCATTAAGTTGGTACCCAGTTCTGTGCACGCTGATATTTCCCTGAAACAACGTAAGGGGCTTAAATTCAGAACAGTGAAATTATCAAAGTGGTAATTTCACTGTTTCAAGCAGTGAAATTACCAGTTTTATTTCACTGATATATTTCTATAAACCACCGAAAAGCATGTAATAAAGAAACATATTTAAGCTTACAATTTGTAAAAAGGAAGTATTTCACATATCTGATTTTCTGGAATGATGCAAAGCTCTATATTATCAAGTGGTCACATTATACTACTGCACAATCTTAAGGAATCTCATAAAAGGCACAATCATGTAATTTTAAATTTTTACTATGATTATTTTTCATATCTTTTTGTACATGTAATTACCGTTGTGAATATGTTTCAAATAAAAAAAATTTCTTTATGTCTAAATTGTTATCCTTATTCCGAGTATAATTTCTAAATTATTACAACTTAAAAATTTGTTTGCCCATCTGAAAATGCAAAACGATACAATGATATTGATCGGCTTCTGGTATTTGAAATAAATAATCCATAAATTATCAGATATATTTTGCAAAAAAAATGACATGATGTAAATTTGTCATGGCTTAAAGGAATCGAGTACTAGTATTTAAAAGTACTGATGTGAGTCGACTTATAAAAACTTGTTTATTGATATTCTTTAAAGCACTAGAGCAAATATTGTAGGGGCGAGGGAAATACGTCTGAATGAGCTAATTCATTTTTTTAGCGTCCTGATTCAACACTTCGATCAAACCCGTCACGGAAACCCTGTCGTGCTACGTTACTGTACTAATCATGCTTGTTAACTGCTGCATACAGACTTGAAATAATTTTTACGAATGTTGTTCCATAAAACTCTCGTTAATTTGTTTTTTACCGTACGAAATCCGTCTGAGAACAGATTAACTTTATGTTGTAACGTTCACCGAGCTTATTCCTATATGATACTAAATTTTCTTCTAGCTTCTTTGCCTTATGATTACTTGATTAAAGGCCATTGCATGAATCACAAAATTGAATAAAATGTATAGTTATAATTTTCCTGGAAACTTCCTTGTATTTAATTTTCAAAAACAAATAATGATTTTTATTTCATGCTTTCCAGTGTTTTATTGTAATATATCAGATGATTATATTCTGATAAACCACTAGTGAAATTTATAAAATATAATTTTCACTGTAGCCGGACTATATCTAAATGCGGATGAATAGAAAATCATAACGAAATGGAATAACAGGCAGAAATAAATGCTGTCATGTGTAAATTTTGCTTCTTTAGGAAAAGAAAGTCAATGTCACCATACATCATGTTAAAAATGTAACAAAATTAGACAAAATTTAACAGAACTATATTTCAAAATTAATGATGTGACGTCATGATGTGATGACGTCACAAAGGAGAATGCACGACGTTACGCGGCAAAATCAGTAAAAAATACTTAAAATCACTTAAAAAGCATGAAATAAAAAGAAAATTTATTTGTTTTACATATAAGATTGAAATATATTTCATTCGTGAACACCAGCTATTATATTTTCACTCGTGGCTACGCCACTCGTGAAAATATGACATCTGGTGTTCACTCAGTGAAATTATATTTCAATCTTACATGCAAAACAAACAAATATCCTCTATATATACGTATTCAACAACTTATGAAATGAATATTGTTTTTTATATATTCTACTTAAAAATTATTCCTCCTTTGCTAATCTTTGATCCTTGCTTTCTTTCTACTTAATATTTCTCACCCTTATCACAGCGCTAGGCACTGTGCAACTAAGAATATAAAAAGTAGGTATAGCATTTAGGATTTTATACTGTTCATCACGCTGCCAAAACACCAACTTCCAAATTATGTGTGTTTTTAGTTTTATTTATACTGGGTGCCGGCTTTGCCAAATGTCCCAGACTATCGGCCTCTGATACGTCGCTGGTCGTAGAGCCTGCAACGGAAGACTTGGTTGGCCTTCAAATCCGCTGATCGTAGAGCCGCAACGGAGGTCTTCTCATGTCGTCTTTCGTCGTAGATCTCTTCTAGGACCCAGTACTTCGATTTTGAACGCAGTAGACTATATAGAGGAAAGGGCTTAGGCACTACTTTCGGGAGCAGCAGCTCTTTGTAGGACTCGGGACTGCTTGCGCCCTCTATCGCCTTCCTTATCTTGCAAACGCTTGAATGTATTATTATAATTAAATCAATCGCTGCCTTTTCAATATGCGTTACTTTTGTACGTATTACATAACTCGGGAACCATAGCAAAAATAAAGATTATCTTATCTTTTCTACGTTACGTTTTCTACAACTGCAATCTTCTACTTACAGATAAAGCTTTTGAGAATTATCTTTTGGAACATTTCGTTTGGTTGAAATGGCGCGTACTTGATAAGGGGAAGTAACTTTTACATTTTCGCTACAATGTAAAATGTACATTCAAGAACTGAATATAAGGAATTATTTCAATAAGTTATTCTAAAATTACAAACTGTAATCAGGGTATCTCATTGGCCAGTCCCAATTTAGCAAAAGAATATAAATAATCTTTCTGAAACATATACAAATTAATGAAGCACTTATTCTACATGAATTCGTCACTGTAAGGTACATGGATAAGTCAGTGTAAGGTACAATAATGGAAACTATTAAGTGCATAGATAAAACGTTATTTATACACCTTGTTCCATTTTGATTTTATTTCATTGAATCAAACAAGAAAAAAAGCATAAAAAAAGACGCCAAATAAGATGTGGGCTTTATATCAGTACTACACTTGGCCCTGTTTAAGTTTAAACTTGGACTAAAAAATAGACTCTGTCTTGCCAAGATGTAAAGACAATTTATTGTCATTAACTAATCACTAATAAGACATAAGAGAGAATTTCGTCAACTTCAGATTTGTTTTACCAGATACAAGGATACCGAGTCATCAGCAATGCTGCATATAACAAAAAGTTTATTGCTTAGAATTGCTGACATATCAATATCATAAGAAATAAAAGAAGATCTAGAATGAAACCCTAGGGTTACTATACGTACATTGTGTTTACCCTGAAGACATTGATAGTCACCCTTATGGAGAACGTACAAGAAGAAAAAACATACACCGAATTAAAACGGGTAATGCTAAATGACCAAAATGAGATTAAAGTACCTGTTTCCATTCACCCACCACGTGATAACAACTTAACAACAGATGTCTTTGACTTAGTGTATGCAAATGAATCTCAGAGAGATAAAGGGCATTATGAATTTTCAAGCACACAACCTGTGTGTAATCAAGCTTTCTTTGAACTACTTGATAGCAAATGATTACACTTACCAAAAGAGATGTATATAGATAAGATACTTGAATTGACCAAATTATCTGAAATCACACTTTCAATATATAGAGATGTCCTAGCAAAGCGTAGTAGCGATCTTAAAAACTGTCCTGTTGGAGATTTTATACGGAGGAAGACAACGAACACGTCATCAAGTGCATTGAAATATGCAAGAGATTGTTACTTACTACAAGAGTTTATAGGTAATGGAGATCCAAAAGCAATATATAGAAAAAGAACAAATCGCCAGTGCAAAAAAATGACCAAGCCATGCGGAAATCTCCTGGAAATGTTCTTTGGGTTAGGGCTTTAAGCCTTTTCATGTGCAAAGAATACTCTCTCAAGTTGTACGAAATCGAATTTGCATTGGAATTGGTCAAACGGAAATGTTCTTTGGGTTAGGGCTTTCTCGTAAAATTGATGTTTTTTCCGAAATTTATATAGAAAAAGAACAAATCGCCTGTGCAAAAAATGACCAAGCCATGCGGAAATCTCCTGGAAATGTTCTTTGGGTTAGGGCTTTAAGCCTTTTCATTTGCAAAGAAGACCCTATCAAGTTGTACAAAATCGAATTTGCATTGGAATTGGTCAAATGGTTTTTGAGCGGTAGGCTCGTAAAATTGATGTTTTTTTTCCGAAATTTATATAGAGAAAGAACAACTCACCTGTGCAAAAAATAACCAAGCCAAGCGGAAATCTCCTGGACGTATTACTTGGGTTCGGGCTTTATGCCTTATAACGTTCAAAAGAAGACCCTCCAAAGTAGTACAAAATCGAATTTGCATCGATATTGGTCAAACGGTTTTTTGAACGGTAAGCTCGTAAAATTGATGTTTTTTCCCCCGAAAATTTATATAGAATAAGAACAAATCGCCTGTGCAAAAAATGACGAAGCCATACGGAAATCTCCTGGAAATGTTCTTTGGGTTAGGGCTTTAAAGCGTTTTCATGTGCAAAGAAGACCCTCTCAAGTTGTACAAAAATAGAACTTGCATTGGAATTGGTCAAATGGTTTTTGAACGGTAGGCTCGTAAACTTGATGTGTTTTTTTTTCCGAAATTTATATAGAGAAAGAACAACTTGCCTGTGCAAAAAATGACCAAGCCACGCGGAAATCTCCTGGACATATTACTTGTGTTAGGGCTTTAGGCCTTACCACGTTCAAAGAAGACTCTCCAAAGTTGAACAAAATCGAATTTGCATCGGAACTGGTCAAACGGTTTTTGAACGGTAAGCTCGTAAAATTGATGTTTTTTCCCCCGAAATTTATATAGAAAAAGAACAAATCGCTTGTGCAAAAAATGACCAAGCCATGCGGAAACCTCCTGGAAATGTTCTTTGGGTTAGGGCTTTAAGCCTTTTTCATGTGCAAAGAAGACTCTCTCAAGTTGTACAAAATAGAATTTGCATTGAAATTGATCATATGGTTTTTGAACGGTAGGCTCGAAAAATTGATGTTTTTTTCCGTAATTTATATAGAGAAGAACAACTCGCCTGTGCAAAAAATGACCAAGCCACGCGGAAATCTCCTGGACATATTACTTGGGTTAGGGCTTTGGGCATTATAACGTTCGAATAAGGCCCTTCAAAGATATACAAAATCGAATTTGCATCGGAATTGGTCAAACGGTTTTTGAAAGGTAAGCTCGTCAAATTGATGTTTTTTTTTTCCTTTGAAATTTATATGGAAAAAGAACAAATCGCTTTGTACAAAAAATGACCAAGCCATGCGGAAATTCTGCTGAAATGTTCTTTAGGTTAGGGCTTTATGCCTTTTCATGTGCAAAGAAGATTGTCTCAAGTTATACAAAATTGAATTTGCATTGGAATTGATCAAACAGTTTTTGAACGGTAGGCTCGTAAAATTGATGTTTTTTCCCCGATATTTATATAGAGAAAGAACAAACTTCGCCTGTTGGAAATATTGCTGGAAATGTCTCTTGGGCTAGGGCTTTAAGCCTTTTATTGTGCAAAGAAGAACCTCTCAAGTTGTACAAAATCGAATTTGCATTGGGAATTGGTAGTCAAATGGTTTTTTGAACAGGTAGGCTCGTAAAAATTGATGTTTTTCCAAA